AAGTATTGTAAGAACCCGAGAAAAGTTTCAGGGGGACACTTTTTCCACTTCATGCATCCCAAATAGAATACATGGCTTGAATTTTTAAAGTTTCAGTAGTAGTGATGTTGTTTTTCTGTGAGGTCGGATCACTAGCCTCACATCTAACTTCCCGTCTTTTCCGGGCTTACTAAAGTTTAATAAAGTAAGCGAGTTTTAGGAGTGCGTCAGGCGGGAATCGAACCCAAACCTCTTGAGTGGCTGACAAACATTTTATTTTATTGGACACTAGTCCTTTGCTTGGTGCAGACTGAATTGTCTCTGTTAGTTTTGAAATATGGCCACCATGCTAGGTGGATTGCTAACACGGTGTATTCTGAATCGCTGTTATCTGATGGTTGAAGGCAGTCGACAGGAAGTCTAGCATTGGACCTAGGTTTCGTGATTGTTACCATTCACCAGTCAGTCAGTCAGCAAGGCGTATCTGTAATCTTGAAGGAACACATGTACCTTCCATAATTATTTATTTATTAAGTATATCACACAGTGAAACAGTATTATTTACTGGATGACGTTTCGAACACAATTTATAATTGTTCATAATCATATCATCAATTATAATCACACAACTTCGAAACTTCAGTTTTATAGTTTTCTTTATTCCTTCCTATTTGTCGTCGTAGTAGCAGAAATTTCCAGATGTCTGGGACAGGTGCTGAATCATTCCTACTACACGTATTTGCAGTTGATTCGATAAATAAAGCTTCATGTGTCAATCTCTCCCTCCACCCTGTTTAATTAGATTTTAAAACTGTCATCTTATCCCATCATATTGTATGGTTGTGTTTAATTGTATGTAGTGAGTGCTATAGCTGTTTCTTATCTTATTCGGGTCCACCAATCGAGTTTTGCTAGGTTTTTATGTTCAGCTAGTCTGACTGTCTGTTATTGTTTTGTTTTAAAGGCTCCACATGATTGATCATTTACCACAAAGCTTGTTTCTAATTGAGATTGTGGGTTTGCATGCCAACCACTATCCTATTGTATGCATAGTCGTGTGTAATTGTATGTAGTGCTGTCGCTGAACTATTCCCCAGATTTCTCATCTTATTAGGGTCAAATAATCTACATTTTGCTAGGTTTTTGCGCTTCGCCAGTCTGGCTGACCCCTTTCTACTACTTTGACCTATGTATTCGACCTGACAGTCATTGCAGCAGGGTATTAGATAAACTAAATTGTTTTGTTTAATTGGCTCCAAAGAATCCTATAAGTGGTACAGCTTGTTTCTGAAAATAAGTTTGTGGGTTCAGATGCCAGCCACTTTTACTCCTAAATTGCTGAGAATTCGCCATAAGGTTTCCGGGGTTCCTTATTTCTATGGAAGTACTACTGATGATTTATATTCCCTATTGTTGGTGCGGTCATTATCCTGTGCATGTTTGACATGCATGTTGTCATCAATATTATTATTGTAATCGCTATCACTACTATTATTATTTATATTAATTTTACATTTTCCTACTTACTTACTAATTAATTTATCAGGTTTATCATGTTTTCACCAGCAATACTGAGGGAGAATTTAAACATTTTTGTAATAAAAGAAACCTTATAAATAGTAATTATTTAATAATATGGAACATTAGTAAAATCAAATCGGGCATACCACTAATGAGTTCGGCATCAAATGAGTGAGACAGTCTCCAGATGTTTGGGTCGCCTCAGTCTGGCTGGCAAACAAACAGTACTGGTTCATGCAAGTAGTTTGCAACTATTCATCTCAGATATCAGTAAAAATATACACTGGCAATTTAAAATTGAGTAAATATACATCGGTGGTATAGCGGATAGGATGCTCGCCGACCATGCACATGGTCCGGGGTTCGATCCCCGGCCACTGACGCACTCCTTTACCTCGCTGAGCCAGAAATAATACTGGTAAAGAGGAAAGGTTGGGCATGAGGCTAGCAACCCCATCCTGTAAAATAAACACTGCTACAGAAACTTCAAGCCACTAGCTTGAAGCCCTATGTTCCACTGGGGAACGTGAAGGAAAAAAAAAAATAGGTAACTAGAAGGAACCTTTGGATTTATGTATTATGCATACCGATACTCATCAGAAAGATGTACCTGTGATCTTCACATTTAATTAACTATATTATATAATCCTTGTATAATGACAGTAGGACATCAGAAAACGTGCTCTACAGCATTCATCATACAACGTATTCATATGTAGACTGGGGCTAAGTTGAAAAGATACTGATATCAAAATGATTCAGCAGTTTCAGTTTAAAAACCATTCATAAAAGTAATTTTAGTTTGCGTTGACGTTGAAGGTCGCATGATCAACGGGTCCAGCCCTAAACGTTAAAATTAATAATAATAATAATGACAGCTTAATCCCAAACAGTAAGTTCCCTTACACGATGAATTGCAAGGAGACAGTTGTGTATGGAGAGGATTTCAGAGTCTGACAAGATAATGCTTGCTATTCTGTTGCATTCATCCAAGTGTCTTTCCCCAACAGTATTAATGAGTTGGTTTAGCAACACCCTACTCACCCACCCTACTGACGGCTATTAGCGCCCCACGCTGTATAACAAAGTCTATCCTCAATGGCCCGGAAAAGATTAAGTTGGGGTAGGGGGAACAGTAAAGAAGTATAGACAGAATACAAGAATTAATGAAAAGTAACAGTAGAGACGGAGTGAGACCAGACAGCCTTACTTCCCCACATAGAACGTCAAGCAAAATATCTTTCTCGAAACTAACATGATGTGGGAAGATCAGGAATCAGCATCAGAGGAAATACACAGTCCAGGGAATTTATCAACATTCGACTTGGTTTCAACTTCAACGCCATCTGTGATAGTGGGACCGTGCGAACTAACCAGTTTACGAAAGTCGTGCTTCCATCTGAAAGTGAAACTGATCGCCTAACACATGGAGGGATTAAGCTTAAGACCGTTTGACGATAACAACTGACTAATTTCTGATAAAACGTTATTCATTTTCAAACAGTTTAACTGAGAAATAACCCCCTGCATAGAAACAGTCAGATCATCAGCATACTTAACAAAATTTACTTCTTTAGAATAGGATGAGTCATGTAAGGAGAAGGAAAACAGGAAAGGAGAGAGAACAGCTCCTTGAGTTAGGAACATCAGTCAGAGTAAGTGAAACAGTGGAGGACCTCCCATTATACACTATACAGTGTACTGCTTCCTATCAGAAGAATAGGAATGCAACCACTTGGTAATCCAGCACTGTGCTTGTATCGCAGCAATCTTGATAATCAGAAGAGGCCTAGGTACAGAGTTGAAGGTTGATACGCAATCTACGAAGGTACACCAAAGAAATTTTTCACCTCTATCTAAACTGAACACAATACTTCTTTTTCCTTTACGTTCCCCAGTGGAACATAGGGTTTCAGGCTTGTGGCTTGAAGTTTCTGTAGCAGTATTTATTTTACAGGATGGGGTTGCTAGCCTCAAGCCCAACCTTTCCTCTTCATCAGCATTATTTCTGGCTTAGTGAGGTAAAGGAGTGCATCAGTGGCCGGGGATCGAACCCCGGACCATGTGCATGGTCGCCGAGTGTCTTAACCGCTATGCCACCGACGCACGAACAATACTATTATTTTATTATTATGGAATATGGAATAAAGAAGGATAACAAAGTTGTAATGTGAATTACATAGTAAAATCAAGACCATGATAATGAAAGAGATTGTAAAAACTGTTTTCGTACACTAAGTTCTGGCGTTATGTTATGTACTTCCCAAGCCTGTGCTATACAAAGCAAATGCACTCGCGTCCCTTTCGGCAAACTTTGTCAGACTTTGTGGACTATATTAAACGATGTGTCAGATGCTGCGTGGTCAGTATCTACAATATGTTGTAATATTTATGAATTAATACCTCTACACTCTCCTTAGCTCCGCCAAACTGGGATGTGCTCTCGAACGCAACAGGATATGTTTCTTGACGAACGTCCTATACACCTAGCTCTGCAAGAGCAGGTGAATATATAAATACACATCGAATTAGACAATCAAGGCAACATTTCCACTCACTTTCAAACTTCAAGACGCACACACACACACACAAGAAAACTGATTGTAATTGTTTATTGTAATTCATATATACATATGCGATTGTACAGCTATGAAAATGAAATCGTCGAAAAGAGGATTTTCTTAGCCAAATTACCATTTCATCTGATATACTACTGTTAGTTTTCTTAGGATATATGCCAATGGAAAATCATAGCTGAGTACTAATCTTGGTGAGGAGTATTCAAACGTTATTCTTTGTTTAAATCAAACACGTTAAAATATCATGAAAATGGTGAAAGATAATAAAACTTAAAAAACAACTAAAAGTTAGTAGAAGGACAATATATGTGTAATAATAATACCAGCATGTGGGACAGTTGAATCTTTTTATATACAGTAGCCGTACGAGCATAAATTACAATGAAATTTCTTCTGGCATTACCCGAAGAGATACAAGAAGAAAGTTGTGAACAATGAAAAAGGATGTTCACTATCAAATAAGACGACACTTTAGCCAATTGCTTACAAGTCCTACAAGAAGTCAATAATCGCCAACTGAAATAGCTTAGAGGTAGCAGTTGTCTGACTGCAGCACTAAGTGGTGACACCGACTTTGATCTCAGAGGAGACATGAGTCCCTTCAAGGTTACACATACACCTTGCTGATTGACTGACTAACTGCTAACAAGCACGAAGCGTAGGTCAGCGTCTAGCTATCTAATAATCAGTTAGCCAGATCAATAGAACACACCACTATCTGTACTTCCAATCTTCAAAGTCCTATAGGATGTGGCATTTATAATCTCTTTTGAGAAACTACATATATCATAACTGTGGGTACTCTTTGGCATAGTTAGACTACTCAATGTTCCATTTATGAAGAGTGGATACACACAATAAGAACATAAAACTCAAGTGAGAAAGAAAGTACATCAACATTTTTTATACAGCTGAACTTACCAAGAATAGCGAATGCGACAAAGAGGAGTAGATATGTGTTCATTATTTCGACTATTGCCTTAAGACTGTTGTTGTAGGTACTGTTGTTTTCGTGAATACCTCTACGAATGCTGAGTTTCACTGTTTCTAGTTAAATTACTTTGTAACTATTAGAATTTTCTAAGGTGGAAAGAGTTACTTTGGTCTTATATATGTAATGCTGGGGCACAATATACTCCCACTGAAATGAATATTTTTGTGATAGATTAGCGAATTTCTCATTGGTTAAAATGTTTATTATTTCAACCAATCAAAATTTTAGAAAATAATTTATTTATTTATTACATGTGTCATTTAAGTTAGATCCTGAAAAACTCAAGTTTACCTACATCTCAATGCATTAAATGTCAGTCAAGAAGGAAATAATAGTTCTCCAGTTATTTTCGTTTTGTTGTTTTATTATTCACAACAATGGTCGCTTATCGCTCATGTTCAACAAAGTGACTACAATTTAATTCTGTAAATTATGGCTTACTTTGAATAGAAATAACAATAATAGTAGTAGTATGTAAGCTGGGATTTGTACAAGTTATTTCTGATAATTAATTCATGAAAAATCCCCATTCGAACATTAATAGAGAGAAGACCAGTAGTTCAGTGTGATTTGATATGATTCACTTTAACGTCTCTTGTCATGATACTTTTATCGCTCTGTAAGAGACAGGTTCGATATTGGAGTAAAGTTGACGCCAGCCTATGCCTAATTCTTACAAGTATTAGAAGAGAGAGAGAAAACAGGCTGAATTCGAGCATTACTGATGAATATTTGTAAGGGAGTGAGGATGAATTATGCACATAGCTTTGATTTAAATCTTTTTCTGTACAGACGAAAGTACGGAAATTTGACTTAGGCAATGTCTAATCATTATACGCGTATCAAGTTATGCTTTTTGGTTCGTGTATTGCTTAAAAGGAAGCGATTCTCAGCATTCTTTCATGATTTAAGACCAACTCGGCACTCGAAAGAATGCCGCATGTCTTTCTTATCTTGTCTTATAACAGGATATGCACAAAACGTAATGTGATACGCGCTAGCATTTCGGTTATTTCAGTCATAATGTTCGAATTCTAATATAATAGACATTCGTAGACTGAAATCCGATAGAGTTTCTCTTAATCGATTTATTTTCATGTTTGACCGCGGAGTTATATCAGTTAGCCAACCACTGGAAACCAGCGAGTAATGGAAAGCTGTTTTCTCCTAGTTCGGAACTCATCATCTGTACGCACCCACTATCAGTGTTCGAACCTAGGACCTTCTAGTTACGCGGAAACCTCGTAGAATATTTATCCATTAGGGCCCGACTTAGTGGTCAGCCCACGAATTCTAATTTCTACCAATTGGTGACTAGCTACAAGACGAAGTTGGTTGGAGTTCTAGTGCGACGTCGTGACTTGTTGGGTTCCCGCCGTCGAGAGTGAGGAAAAATACTGGCCGATGATATTGCCTGGTGGCTGCGCTAAAATCACAAGCTGGCAGAAGTTAGAATCCGTGCGCCGAGTCAGGTCCCAGGGGCAGAAAAGTCTGCGAGATTCCCTTACAAATAAAGGGCCTTGCTTCAAAACCCAGTGGGTGCATAGTGTGATGAGTCCGGAACTAGGGCGAAACAGGTCTCCAGTACTTCCTGATTTCCCAATGGTTCTCTAACCGATAACAACCGTGGTCAAATTTGAAACAGATCAAGTCCTTACAAGCTAATTCTTGATTTATTTTCACCTAAATTTTTCTGTCTTCAATGTGAAGATACCAAATTAAAAATAAGCGTTGTGCAAAGGTAAATATTCTTCCCAAAAGTTCCTAGGCGGATGAAACGTTCATTATCCTAAAACCAATAGGGGGATCTACAGCACTGAATACAAAGAACAGGATCCGAATTTATAATATCACTATAAAGTCAGTGACACATTGAAAATCTGGTTCAGAAACTTGTGCATACACTTCATCAGAAGAGTTTCCAACAGGTCACTACAGACGTTCATCAACACCTACACCCTTCACTCGGTACTGAAGATTAAATAAACGAACAAGAAAGATGATAGGCAAGCAATGAAGAACTTTGTCACGAAACCAAAAAAAATAATGATATATTTGATATATACTGAGGAAAGATACAAGTGACCTTACAAAGCACACAATCGAAGGAAACTCCAGTAAGAAGCCGCGAATTCGACGTGAGTCCATGGGTGATGTTGAGAAGATCATGTAAAGAGGAAATGAAATCATTTGGGGAGCCATAAAACTAGCTGAATGTGTTGACAGATAACTGATTGTAGTGGAGATGTGTTTCCGAGCCCCTGTGTCAGATTCTGATTGCTAGTGTAACGACAGAAGGCAAGAGTCAGGCAACAGATCAGTTATTAAGGAAATCAACGCATATTTATATATTTTCATGTACATCACTATGGATATTTAAGCAAACAAACACAGTCTTCCGATTGGTTGTTTCTCACGTAAAGTTAATCTTTCATCTATTTGTGACTGTTTCTTGAATGTCAAATCCTCTATATGTTAACTGCATCCGCCTACGCAAAGTCTGCTGTGGTCGGTTTTGAATCAATCTTTGTTCACATTTTCTCACGACAAATTTTGGGGCCGTAAATATTGACGTAAATTACTGTCTACCAATTTGGCTAGTAGACAGCTCTCACCACACTAGGATCTATTGGAGGCTTGCATGGGGGTGTAGGATGAGAACTTCAGCATATTTGTGATCAGTCAGATGGATACATCTACTTCCCCAGTGAAAGTGATGATGTTCTTGGTGGGACTCGAACCCAGCACTCATCTCTTCTACACGAAAGTGTGACCCACTGGGCAACGAGGCCACGGTAGTCACCCATTTTGAAACTGACATAAGCTGTTATTTGTAACTCTGGCCAGGCTGAATTTTATTGAGCAGAATTGCTTGGTCTCATTTGACCTATCTGCTTATAGTACAGATGCTTCCACGATGCCTTCGGATTAACATAGCCCGAATTATACCGTCAAGATCAAAAGACTGAACTAGCAGGTTCATTTGCCCAATTTTATTCACTAAGCAGCACCGGTAAATTAACAAAAATAAAATTAACGGTTTCCGTATTTAAGAGAACTTACACACTTATAAGTGAGTTGTTTACAATAAAACTTACAAAATTCTATCATTTTAAATTAGTAATGCAGACTTTACTTGTCTGTTCATATGGTTGACTGAATGAACTACACGACTCCTTCCTGCTGTTGTTTTGTTATGATTGCATAAAATCACTGAAGCATTATTTCCATGTATTAGACATAATATGACAAACTTAATAATGATAGATAACACTATGAATATGTAAAAATGCATTTGTATTTGCTGCGAGACAGTTATATAATCCTAAATTTGTTATGTCTAATTTTTATATCTTTTAAATATTACAGATGTGTGAATTCAGTCAAATCAAGATGATGTCATCATAGACACCTGTTTATAGCATGCAATAGATTGATAGATGCGATCAAACTTGAAGATCTACAGACGACAATAAACATAATAATAATAAAATAATAATATTGTCTCTAGTTTAGATGGAGGTGACAAATATGTTCGTTGTACCTTCATAGATTGCACATCTGCCTTCGACTCTCCACCTAGGCCTCTTTTGTTAAAAAATATTGCTGCGACACAACCACTGTGCTGGATTACCAAGCGGTTGCATTCCTATTCTTCTGTTAGGAAGCAGTACACTGTATAGCATATATTGGGAAGTTCTCCACTGCTTCACTTACTCTGACTGGTGTTCCTAACTCAAGGAGCTGTTCTCTCTCCTTTCCTGTTTTCCTTCTTACATGACTTTACCCATTCTGATGGGGCCAATATTGTTAAGTATGCTGATGATCTGACTTCTCAGTCAGAATGTTCCAAAATGAGTAAATATTTATATCAGAAACTTGGTCAGTGGTCATCGTCAAACGGTCTTCAGCTTAATCCATCCAGATGTCAGGTGGTTAATATCCCTTTCAGATGCAAGCACGACTTTCGTGAACTGTTCAGTTCGTATGGTTCCACTATCATAGATGACATTGAAGTTGAAACCAAATCGAATGTTGGTGAATATCTTGGACTGTGTATTTATTCCCTCAGATCCTGATTCCTGGTCTTCCCACATAATGCTAGTTTCCGGAAAGATATTTCGTTTGACTTTCTGTGTGGGGAAGTTAAGACGATCTGGTATCATTCCGTCTCTACTGTTACCGTTCGTTAATTCTTGTTCTCTGCTAACATTTCGTTGCTCTTCCCCCCTTACTTAATCCTTCACTGGCTATTGAGGAGAGGCTATTTTATACAGCGTGGGGCACTGAAAGCTGTCGGTGTGGTAGGTGAGTGGGGTGTTGCTAAACCATCTCGTTAATACTATTGTAGATATACACTTGGATGTATGCGAGAGATTAGCAAATATTCTGCTGTCAGACTCTGAACATCCTCTCCACGCACATCTCTCTCCTTGCATGTCAACGGGCAGGGGAACTAGAAGCATGTATAGAAGACTTTATGCTCGGACGACTAAGTCAAAAAATTCTACAATACCTTATTTGTCCGGGAAACATTTAATGTGATGAGAGAAGTGTGTGAGACAGGAAATTACCAACTTTCTGAGGAACTCTAAGTATACGGCACTGTTGTCATAAATTTCTTTCACTTGATAAAATTTGATATTCACTTCTTATTGAACAATATTATTGTAAGCGCAATATCGCTTGAAATTAAGTCACGCGTAGATAAAGGCTATCCCGGTCCAGAACAAACAAGAAGCCGGTCACTGTTTCTACGGTACTATTAATAAACAAATCAATAATTATATTTACAACAAACCTTAACGGTTTCAAGAGTACAAAGCACAACGCTTAACAGAAAGCAAGGTACCACTATCAGAGCGAAATAAGGTTAAAGCCAAAATTGCGAACTAGCTGGAATCAGACACGACCGTTCAGGTAAGCAGTCAGTAGAAGAATGAACCCAAGTAAGGCAGGGCATAGAACAGAGAGTGGTTAAGAGATAGACAGAGCTTAGGCACAAAGATAGAATTTAATTGGCTACTTAACCAGGTAGGCTGATACAGATGAAGATCAATAAATAAGATAAATCACGAAAAATGCCCATTTATTCATAAGTAAAAACACAGTTTTTGTTCAGCGAAGAAATTTCTTTTCAACG